TCGTGTTTTTTCTTGGGTATATATATATATTTTTTCCCCTCGTTCATTAGCGTACTTGATATTTCATCATGACCGAACAGACTCCTAAAGTATCTAAGATTAAGACCATGTCCCCACCTTCGTTTCAACTCATGCCTTTCTGGCCCGACAACATCGAAGCCTGGTTCTGCTACGCAGAAGCCGACTTCCATGAGCACGGCGTGATCGACACACGTGCACAATTCCTCGCAGTAGTCAAGGCACTACCGCGCGAATTCAACAGGTACGTAACACCTAGTATGTTTACTAGCGATGTTTCTGAACCTTACGAAACCTTAAAACGTTCGATTCTTAAACGCAGAGACCTAACCGATCGACAAAGGTTAGACAAACTCCTCAATAACATCGACCTGCAACACGGTTTTGCGACGGACATGTTGCAAAGGATGAGAGAGGTTATAGGCCTAAGAACTCACGACGAAGGCCTATTCAAACAACTTTTCTTGTCCAAACTTCCCCAACAGGTGCGAGCGGTTCTGGAGTCGTTTCAAAACAACGCCTTAGACGAACTGGCTGCATCTGCCGATCGTATCTTAGAAATTACGAAACCTACTACCGAGGTATTTTCAGTCAAAGAAAAGCCTCACACGACTCAGAATGATATAACCGAGTTATGTCATACACTCAAGCGTTACCTTGATCTTCGTACCGACCGTAAGAGATCGCGCACCCCATTTAGAAGCATTTCACGTAAGCGATCTGTCTCTAGACCACGAGAGACAGATAACCCCGACTGGTGCTGGTATCATAACCAGTATGGAAAGTCTTCCAGAAATTGCAGAAAACCCTGCAATTTTCCCAACACGAAACCGACTGACTCGAAAAACAACTCGGGAAACTTCCAAGCCGGCACGCGTTAACGGCAACCATAGCCGGCGAACATAGCCGTCTGTTGTACGTCACAGATGTGACAACGAGAGTTCGCTACCTCGTCGACACTGGCGCAGAAGTTAGCGTTCTCCCGGCGAATTCCAACGACCGACTTCACGAATCGACCCTAAACTTACAGGCGGCAAACGGAAAACCGATCACTACGTATGGCAAAAGGTACGTTTACCTTAACGTGGGTTTACCCAAGCCCATCCACTGGATCTTCGTTGTTGCAGATGTATCTATGCCAATCATTGTTATGGATCTTCTACAACACCATAATCTGATCATCGATACGCGCAAACGGAGGCTAGTAGACGGAAACACTAATTTGTCCGTTTGTGTAACTTCCTTTTCTGGTTGCAAATTATCCCCAGTCACAATTAAGCATATGATAGACCCACTCTACCAGCCACTACTCGATAAGTACCCTGGGATACAACAAACTCAACCGAAGCTACGTGTGTAACCAGCAACGTTACACATCACATCAGGACTACAGGACCACCTGTATTCTCTAAAACACGACGACTAGCTCCTGAAAAGCTAAGGTTGGTAAAAAACGAGTTTGACCATATAATAGACTTAGGAATCATACGACCGTCAAGTAACCCATATGCATAACCGTTGCACATGGTCCCTAAAAAGGACAGCAACGATTGGCGTCCAACTGGTGACTATCGGCGATTGAATGCGAAAACCATTCCCGATTGTTACCCGTTGCCTCATATTCACGATTTGACAGCTACTTTAAAAGGTACAACTGTCTTTTCAAAAATCGACTTGGTTAAAGCGTATAACCAAATACCTATGGCTACTGACGAAAACAGCTATCATTACTCCCTTCGGACTCTATGAATTTTTGCGAATGCCTGTCGGTTTAAGAAACGCTGCTCAAACATTCCAAAGATTCATAGACGACGTTTTTCGAGGTCTCAACTTCGTACATGCGTATGTTGATGACTGCCTAATCGAAAGTCCGGACAGAGAAACACATCTCAAGCATCTGGATCTTGTTTTCGAACGACTACAAAAACTCGGCATTACTGTAAACGTTCAGAAACGCCAATTTGGAACCGACTCACTAGACTTTCTGGGACACACTATCGATGCTCAAGGTATCCGACCCCTTAGAACCAAAGTGGCGGTCATTCTGGATTACCCAGAACCGACCACCGTCAGGCAATTACGCACGTTTAACGGCCTGGTAAGTTTCTATAGACGTTTCATACCGAAATGCGCATTACTCATGAAACCTCTTACCGACCAACTTCGTGGAAATACGAAATCGATTAATTTGGATGACACCGCACGAAAAGCATTCTCCACAGTTAAGGAACTGATTGCTAAAGCAACAATGCTCGCACATCAGGACACCGAAGCACCTATTAGTATCGCAGTAGACGCATCCGACTCAGCAATCGGAGGAGTCTTACAACAATGGGTTAACAACTCCTGGAAACCCTTAGCATTTTTCTCTAGACGGTTGCTAGACACCGAATCGAGGTACAGAACATTCGTTAGGGAACCCCTAGCCATGTATCGTGCTGTACGGCATTTTCAACACTATATTGAAGGCCGTGAATTCACCCTTTTTACTGACCATAAACCGCTTACCTTCTCTTTAAGCTCTTCTTCAGACAAGTACTCACCTCGTGAGGTTCGACAACTGAACTACATTTCGCAGTTTACTTCAGATATTCAACACATCTCTGGAGCAAACAATGTAGTTGCAGACGCCTTATCTCGCATAACTTCCTTGAACAGTTTCCAAGGAATCGACCTTCTTAAACTCGCCGAGCTTCAAAAAGAAGTCAGTGATCTTCAGCACGAGTTATCATCCACAACACTTAAACTACGCATCAAACAGATGGGAACAGGTAAGGAAACCTTACTTTGTGACACATCTGCAGGTAGGGATCGCCCAATCGTGCCTAAACATTATCGACGCAACGTCTTCAATACGTTGCACAAACTTTCGCATCCAGGTGTTCGTGCAACCATCAAGCTTATAGCAGAACGGTTTTGCTGGCCTGGCATGAATAAAGACGTGAGGGAGTGGGCACGCTCCTGTGTAAGCTGCCAAAAATCTAAGGTTATCAGACACAATAAATGTCCCTTAGGCTCATTTAAAACTCCCGATGCTCGTTTCGACCATGTTCATCTGGATTTGGTAGGACCTTTACCAGATTCAAATGGATACTCTTACCTCTTAACCTGAGTAGACCGTTTCACTCGATGGCCAGAAGCAGTACCTATCAAGGACATCACTGCTGAAACAGTGGCTCGCGCCTTCGTCGAACGATGGGTAGCAAACTTCGGCTGCCCTTCAACTATCACTACAGATCGCGGACGGCAGTTTGAATCTGAACTTTTCCGTCGTCTGGCCACACTTTTAGGAATCACTCGCTTCCGAACGACCGCCTACCACCCACAAGCAAACGGGTTGGTAGAACGCTTTCACCGACAACTAAAAGCTTCACTATCAGCTGCAAACGTTTCACAGTGGACAGATGCCCTTCCACTCGTCTTACTAGGTATCCGCAATGCAGTGAAAGCTGACATTGGATACACTGCGGCTCAACTCGTTTATGGTACGACACTTCGACTTCCAGGAGAATTCGTGGATCCTTCATCCTCTTCAATGAACATGGATCTAACCTCCTACACGAACAGGCTTACAAACGCAATGCGTTCAGTTAAACCTGCTTCCACTCGACCTCAATCAACTGATGTTTTCGTTCAACCTGACTTACGATATAGTACACACGTTTTCGTTCGTCGAGACTCGCATCGACGACCCTTCGAATCAGCATACGAAGGACCCTTCAAAGTTCTTCAACGTGAATCTAAGTACTATATAGTCGATAAGAACGGAACAAACGATAGCATCAGCATCGATCGCTTAAAAGCAGCGTATTTAGAAGGAAATCCTATCTACGTCGATTTTCCTTCGGTACAATCGAACGACACGACTCCACTCATAGTTCCTCAACCGACAACCAACACTAGCGATGATACTCCGAATGTATCTGAAAATAAACTTAAAACGAAGCGTTCTGGAAGAAGAGTTAGATTTCCAGAACATTTAAACGACTATTGCACGTAAGACACTTCTCGACATTTTATATTATCTCGATCTTTCTTCTTACAATATACAATATATTTTAAAAAGAACAATTCTAATATGCTTATATATTTATATTTTTATTTAAAAAAACAAACAAAAAAACATTATAAATCTTTTTTTAACGAAATTACGTGTACATGAGTTTATTTTCCATTTTTTTCGCCGACATTGTGTTTTTACGCACATACGAGTGTATTTCGACATGCACTTACATTTTCTTTTTTCTTTTCCAGGACGGCTGGAAAAGAACGATGACGTTTATTAGGAGCTGAAAGTTTCATTGTACATTTTCTTTTTTTACTATGTTGTACCTCGGTCCCATATAGTAAGGAAAGACGACCAGACGCTGCTACACTTAGTAAGCTATCAGAAGAGTGTTTACCAACGACAAACTCGCTGGGTTTAAACTTCTGGCTGGCCACGTCTTAGGGTCATCACTAACCCACTAGGGGGGGGGAGTGATCTGTAGCGGTAAATAAATCCCCAAAATAAATAGCCCTGTAAGTTTTCGACATTGAATGCTGACCATATGTTTAAGTGGACTCATCTAGCTGAAGGCGCTCGGTCAGGCATCCGCACCAGATCACGTGTGGTAACGCCGTGCTCAACATCAACCGCAATCGCTTGCCAGATTAGATCAGAGAATTCTGATATTTTGGTTATCGCCAAATACACTCTTCCAATCTCCTCGACTCTGTCTTTTGATTTCTCTGGGTGGTTACGAATTATATTAGAATGTGTTACTGGTAGAGGCGTTGTCAAACACTGAATACCTGTGTCATCTTCACTGTAATAATATATGAAAACTCGTGAATATCATATAATACACTGGTTACGATCATGTACGAAAGCACTGTTTTATGTTGATAAGGTAAAATAACTGTCTTGTTCTACTTTCGACAGCAATGTGTTTTGTTTATTTCATTAATTAGTTGGTTAATAGTGGTTGCCAAGGTGAGGCGGTGGATTGGATTTGTAATTTCACGTGAGGTTTACATGTGATTAATATATATTACATTTATTCGAAAGGCTTTTGTGTGAAGATATTTTTCCCAGAACCGGTGTAATATAAGCTACGTGTTCAACCCTTATGCGGGAACTTTCTTGGCCAATCAGCCAACTGTCAAAGATCTAGCTACACAAAATTGTTTTACCACCTAAAGTGTGATGCAAATGAGACGAATGTGGTTCTCTGTAGCTTTCGACTATATAACCGTCTGGTGTTGATATTCACATACCATGAGTTGAATTTCTGTCATAAATGTCCAGGCCTTCTATTTTGTCAAAAACTGTGCTCTTGATAAGTAAATTATGTACCTAAATGGACTTGAGCTATTACATTAACTGTATGTCATGATAGAGCGATATTAGTACTACCAACTCTCCCAGAGTGTAGATATGGTAAAAGTCATCATTCTTTCACTTTCGTACATGGCCATTTTGTATGGATTCAGTCAGTCAGTTACAACGTAGGACCAGGCACATATATGCATCGGTCCAAGTTGCCACACATCATTAGCACAACAAGGTGAACACCATATTCATAGAAGTAGTTACTTCAGTGGTAGTAATATACAAAAACCATTGCATATAAGGATATAATACAGGGAGAAAGAATTAGTTCGTAGAAAGGTATAAAGTAATTTTAATCTCACGGTTTACGGGAAGACAGAGTGTATACACCTACGTCATTGTGACCGATTGCGAGCCATGTCACCCAGAGTCTCCAACCATTGGTTACGATAGTCGCGCAGACCCCAACCGAGTAGCCTGCATCTACCAACATGGCTCAGACTAGAAGTTAGTGACTTTAAGCACTGATGCCACGTTTTGATTTGGTCGCCCCTAACTTCCTTCTAACCGTCCCCAACCCTAATCAGCATTGTGCATCGTGGTAATCGGTGTTCGGGCATACGTGACACGTGGCCCAACCATCTCAGTCGATGAAGATTCACAACCTCATCAACTGATCTACCATCATTCCCTAATACTGTGCGTCTAACCTCAATATTATTATTTTATTATTTTAACACAGATATTGGTACATGTTAGCGGGACATAGACCGGATTAAAGCATGCTCAATGCATGATTGCTTTGGTGCACGCTGATTGGCTAATTCTTAACCAATCAGCACTAGTCGATAGTTGGAGAACACTCTAGAATCTTCTCATGTAGGATACTATAAATATACTGACGTTTTTCTCTATTGTGCTTCTGACTTCCATCTAACCTTGTTATTTGGAATATAATCTCTTCCTGTTCAACCGTGTTTTGATTTGGGGACTTGTCGAGTGAATCGGTGTCCGAGAATACTAAGCAATAGGAATAGCCGGGTCATAACCGTAAGAAAGCGATATATAACAGTGGCGACGGGGAAAAAGGAAAACAAATTCAAGATGCCTATATCAGATGACCAGCTTAACCGAATACTACAACAACAGCAAGCACAACTTGATGCACAAATGCGGTTGTTGGAGACTCTGACTCGACAGTTCAACATCCACAGTTCGAGTTCACACGCTATTTCAAGTTCGTCTTGTGATGCAGTTGCTAGCAGCATCCCAGAATTCGTCTATGATCCCGAAAATGGAAATACTTTTCTCACGTGGTTCAGACGTTGGGAAGATACATTTAGAACAGAATTCTGTAATCAAGACGATGCGTGGAAGACCCGATTGTTGGTACGTAAGTTGGGAAGCAACGAACATGCACGTTTTGCTGACCATATTTTGCCAAAGTTACCTCGAGAGCTCAGTTTCGAGGAGACGGTATTTCAGCTGTCAGAGATATTCGGCGAGTCATCCTCGTTGTTTAGTATTCGATATCGGTGTCTAAATTTGGTGAAACGCGAAGCTGATGAATATGGTGTTCTAGCAGACATTGTCAACAGAGAATGTGAACGTTTCAAGTTGCGCTCGTTGACTGATGACCAATTTAAATGCTTAATATTCATCAAAGCTCTTCAGTCACCACAAGACGCTGAGATCAGGACTAGACTTTTGGCTCGACTGGACCAAGATCCAAACGTCACACTCAGAACATTGACAGATGAGTGTAAGCGTCTACAAAGCATCAGACACGACAACGAGTTGATTGAACAGGTAAATCCTAATTTAACCTGCGGTAGTGTAAATACTATTACTAGGTTAAAAGTTCAGAAGCCGGTAACAACTCGTAACAAACCAAGGACTGCATGCTGGTTATGCGGTGATTGGCATTATGCACGATTCTGTCCGTTCAAGAAGCATAAATGTCAGGAGTGCAACAAACGTGGACATAAAGAAGGTCATTGTCCACCGAAGCGTACGTCTCAGCCTAAGAAGAAGCATAAACGTCCTCGACATGTGAAATCAGCCGAGTCCAAATCTCTTTCTTTGGTAGCTGCCTTTCAAACAAACTATGACATTCAGAGAAAGTATGTTACTATCCAGATAAACGGCATATCAGCTCGTCTTCAAATTGACACGGCATCAGATATCACGTTAGTGTCTAGAGAAACATATAACTTGCTGGGTAAACCGCCAATGAAGCCATCTAAGAAAACGGCTAAAAACGCATCAGGTGGTGTGCTAAAACTGGTTGGTGAATTACAGTGTGAATTTTCCTTCAATGGAACTAACTGTACAGGAATATGTTACCTAACAGAACGGCCGAACCTTGATCTTCTTGGTCTAGATATGCTAGACAAACTTGGAATAATGGATATACCAATTAACAGTGTCTGTAACGTATCGTGTTCATCATTGGACACCCCATTACTTCCAAAGAAGACAGATGAACGGTTACTAGAAAAACTGAAAAGAAAGTTTGCCTCTGTTTTTCAGAATAGCCTTGGCCACTGTACCAAGATGAAAGCGCACTTACCAGTGAAACCAGATGCCATACCTATTTTTCGCCCGAGACGTCCTGTGCCATATGCTGCTCTTGAGCTAGTCGACCAGGAACTTAATCGCTTGCAGCAGGCTGGTGTAATCCGACCAGTTAACTACTCTGCATGGGCCGCACCGATTGTAGTGATTAAGAAGGCCAATGGGACTATACGCATATGTGCCGATTTCTCGACCGGTTTAAATGCTGCGTTAGATGTATATCAATATCCCTTACCAGTTCCGGAAGACCTGTTTGCCAAGCTTAATGGTGGGACATGTTTCGCGAAAATAGACTTCTCCGATGCTTATCTCCAAGTGGAAGTAGATGAAGATAGTAGAGAGCTTCTGACTATTAACACTCATCGAGGGTTATTTCAATACACTCGTCTACCATTTGGCATCAAGACCGCACCCGCCATCTTTCAGCAAATAATGGATACGATGCTAACAGGTATACCTGGTACAGCAGCTTACCTAGATGATATCATAGTTATGGGTTCAACTGATAGTGAACTTTCTGATCGACTACACCAAGTCCTTAACCGAGTGTTGGAGTATGGTTTCCGACTACGTGAGGAAAAATGTATCTTCTTCATGCATTCGATCAAATACCTTGGTTTTATCTTAGATAAGAACGGTCGCCGACCAGACCCTGCCAACATCGAAGCCATTCAGAAGATGCCTGCACCAACTGATGTTTCTTCATTAAGATCCTTCTTGGGGTTAATCAGTCATTACAGCACATTCTTGCCTGAAATGCACCGAGTGAGAGGTCCCCTAAATGAATTACTATCGAAAGATAAACCTTGGCAGTGGTCAGCAGAATGTCAAGCATCTTTTGACAGAGTCAAATCAATGCTCAGCTCAAAGATTCTTTTGACGCACTTCGATCCCAGCTTGGAAATTGTTGTTGCATCTGATGCCTCTAGTCATGGAGTTGGAGCAGTGATATCTCACGTGTTTCCGGATAAATCAGAGAAGACAATTGCCCATGCTGCTAGATCACTTACTCCAGCCGAGCGAAACTACAGCCAAATTGAAAAGGAAGCTCTTGCAATCATTTTCGCAGTCAAAAGATTTCATAAAATGCTCTATGGTCGTACATTTACTCTACTGACAGATCACAAACCTTTGATTGCAATCTTTGGTTCTAAGAAAGGAATCCCTGTCTATACGGCTAATAGACTACAGCGCTGGGCAACAATGCTCCTGAGTTATGATTTTAATATCAAGTATCAGTCGACAAATACTATCGGTCAAGCTGACGCTCTCTCCCGATTAATTGGAGTTCAACATCCTGGACCAGAGGATATAATCATCGCCTCCACAACAGTAGATCCAGAAATACGAAGTATAGTGGCAGATGCCATTCGAAACACTCCAGTGTCGTCAGATGAAGTCAGGGAAGAAACGCTTCGAGACCCAACACTACAAGAAGTTAGAAAGTTCCACCTAGAAGGGTGGCCCTCGAAAATCAGTTCCACAGAGCTTCAACAGTTTTACCAACGAAGACTCTCTCTTTCAATCATCGATGACTGTCTGCTGTTTGCCGAACGTGTCATAATTCCCAAGAAGCTACAACCAGCAGTGCTTGAACAGTTGCATGCAGGACATCCTGGAATAAATCGCATGAAAGCACTAGCACGAAGTTATGTATACTGGCCGCATTTAGACACCCAACTGGAGCAGCTATCCCGTTCCTGTACCAAATGTGCATTAGCGACAAAAGCACCGCGAAAAGCAGAGCTGCAATCATGGCCAATACCACAGTTACCGTGGCAGCGTATACATTTGGACTTTGCTGGTCCACTCCATGGACAAAATTATCTTTTGGTGGTTGATGCATATAGCAAGTGGCCAGAAATTTTTCTCATGGAACACCCTACTGCAAGCTGCACAGTCAGTAAACTACGTCAACTATTCAGTCGTTTTGGAATCCCGGAATTGATAGTTAGTGACAACGGAACACAGTTTACGTCCGGAATCTTCTCACAATTTTGTCGGCAGAACGGAATCCAGCACCTGCGAACACCTCCATTCCATCCCCAATCAAATGGCCAAGTGGAACGCTTTGTGAGTACATTTAAAAATGCTCTAAAAAAATCCAAAGGGGAAGGGACCACTGAAGATATCTTAGAGAGGTTCCTGTTTATTTATCGCTCTACACCGAACCCTCAGACAATTAACGGGGTCTCTCCAGCAGAAGCTCTACTTGGCAGAAAGATACGAACACATTTCGATGCCATCCGTCCTACGCCAGCTATTGAACCCCAACGAAACCTATCGATGGAGAATCAGTTTAACCGACATCATGGGGCACAAAGACGATTGTTCACGGTGGGACAAAAAGTGCTTGCTATGGACTATCGTGGGAAACACCCTACATGGACAGCTGGTCGGATCGTGAAAAAGAAGGGGAGTGTGGTTTACGAGGTGTCAGTTGGCTCGGAAGTTTGGGTACGTCATGCTAACCAATTGAAAGCAACTTCGATAGCCAGCAACAAGATTCAATATCGATTACCTCTTGATGTTCTGCTAGACACCTTTGAAATCAAAACGCCGGGAATAGACACGTCAGTTTCTGTGCAAGAAAAGAGTGATACTTCACTATTGCCTAGACGATGGACTAATCGAAAGCACAGGCCAGTCACTCGGTTGCAGTTGGACCCTAGCACCAGATCCTACGAATCTGCTCAAAGGGGAGGTGTTAGCGGGACATAGACCGGATTAAAGCATGCTCAATGCATGATTGCTTTGGTGCACGCTGATTGGCTAATTCTTAACCAATCAGCACTAGTCGATAGTTGGAGAACACTCTAGAATCTTCTCATGTAGGATACTATAAATATACTGACGTTTTTCTCTATTGTGCTTCTGACTTCCATCTAACCTTGTTATTTGGAATATAATCTCTTCCTGTTCAACCGTGTTTTGATTTGGGGACTTGTCGAGTGAATCGGTGTCCGAGAATACTAAGCAATAGGAATAGCCGGGTCATAACCGTAAGAAAAGCGACATATAACAGTACAAGAAGGCACCAAATGCATATGCGTCACACAAATCTTATTCGATATGTGTGAAAGCTGTGATACTGTCCGGGTGCCCAAACCGAAGCAGGTGGTTTTCTTGAGGGGGGCACTCCTCGACCCTTCGACCTGAAGGTCTGATCCACAAGGCAGTGGAGCATCGTAAGGAGATGCAGTCCCATGGAAGCTGGTGACCAACGATTGGTTCATACGCCATTTGTTCCTTCAGAATAGTGGAGCCCATGTGCACCATTAATTTGGGATCCGGTTAAAGCGCCAAACATTCGCTTTTCGTCCTCTCATTTTCGTAAACAACACTCGTGTTACGAGAAGGCAGTGAGTAGGACTTCCCTGGCAGAGGCTATTACTATTACTTACCCGGTGATCTCAGCAGATGCGAGCAGTAATTACAAGACATCTGTGATCAAATACTAGTTACTTACGAGTATCCTCTTCTCTTAATGACAAGTTTTGTAGCCATAAAGTAGAACGAAGTGCCGCACAGTATACTCGTCCTTTAATTGATAGACGGATATCTCGCCTTTGCCATAGGTGACGTGATTTGGCAAAAGCTAAACGAGCTTTTCGAATCCATGCTGAGATTTCGTCAGACACCAACCCATTAGGGCTAATCAGACATCCGAGATAAGTGAAGTTGTGGAAGCGTTTGACTACCTCACTCTCCTCACTTCAGGTGTTGATGCAGGCCGGTCCTGAAGCAACAACTTGCATTTAGAGGGAGAGAAGCGCATCCCAAACATTCTGGCATTGTTGCTCACTGCTACCAGAAGACTGCGTTTTATCAGCGTCTTCACTAAACAGGACTATGCCATCTACGTACTCTATGTCGATAAGTGGATCTCCTAGAAGATGGATTCCTGAAAATTCAGTAAACGAGAACGTTGTTTCCATCATCAGATCTATGATGAAGGTAAACAAAAATGGAGATAGTGGACAGCCTTGTTGGACACCACTTGAGGTTGCAAAATCACATGATAGTTCTCATTCATTATATAACTGCAGTAACCGTAAACAACTCTTCAATCGAACAATCTTTTTGAAGGAGAAAAGCTCAACTTTTTTATCGTAAAGACTGTATTTATACTTTATTTGTGTTTCATTTTCAGACCTTCAAATCATGAAATCTGAACCTGGTAACCATGATCCTGCCAACTACACTGTTCAATCCCTGAATTCTAAAGAAATTAGAATTGATGTTCAGGAAAATAATGTCAGGAAGATGAGCTATGCTGAATTTTTAGCCAGTTTAAAAAGTGGTTTATGCGTTGATGGCATGTGTAATTCAGACGCCAATATCCAAAATAAATTCGACTATTCGCTGAATAAATCCATCGATATTCATGTGAAAGCAAATGAACATGCTTGTAATACTGGGGTCTCTACTGCTGAAGATTTTTCAAACACAGTTCCTTTGTGTAATCCAAAAGTCGAGTTTTTATATATTCAAAGTTCTGAAGACAGCCTAATTGGTGTGCCTGATATAATGACAGAAGCATTAGGCTTCTCAGAACCCAATATTCAGAAGTCTTATTTTTCTGGGTTTAGTCAATCTCCAAGTCAGACAGAACAAGTAACATAATATTAAGAAATGAGCATTAGCATTTTAGAAATTGGCTGACTTTTATCTGTCGAAAATTATTGATTCTGATATATGTCTTAGGAAGATTGTGGATGATCATCCAAACTTTCCGATTTTGGAATGTTTTCGAGAATTTCAGTCTTCCACCACTGGTTGCACTAGCTCAACGCGAATTCCATCAGGTAAGCTTAATTTGTAATCATTTATTAGTAATATCAGCTTCCTAATCATTAGTCATCATGATCCATGAAACTTAGCAATACTAGTCAGTGTGATATACGTCTAGAGAATTCCAACCCTTGTTGTAACTTAATACTAGCTTTTAACTATTGATCAAGTTTCTGCATAACTTTAGCAGTAAGAGGTATTCGTCGTTAAATTAATCAGTCAGTCAGTCAGCTACAACGTAGGACCAGGCACATATATGCATCGGTCCAAGTTGCCATACCTCATTAGCACAACAAGATGGACACCGGATCCATAAAAGTAGTTAATTAAGAGGTGGTAATATATAAAAGAAAGATTGCAATAAGGATATAGTACAGGAAGAAAGATTTGGTACGTAGATAGAAAGATATAAAATAATTTTAGCCTCATAGTTTAAGGGAAGACAGAGCGTGTATACACCGACGCTATTGTGATCGATTCTGAGCCATGTCACCCAGAGTCTCCAACCATTGGTTACGATAGTCGCGCAGACCCCAACCGAGTAGCCTGCATCTACCAACATGGCTCAGACTAGAAGTTAGTGACTTTAAGCACTGATGCCACGTTTTGATTTGGTCGCCCCTAACTTCCTTCTAACCGTCCCCAACCCTAATCAGCATTGTGCATCGTGGTAATCGGTGTTCGGGCATACGTGACACGTGGCCCAACCATCTCAGTCGATGAAGATTCACAACCTCATCAACTGATTTACCATCATTCCCTAATACCCCGTGTCTAATTTCACTATTACTTACCCGGTGATCCCAGCAGACGCCAGCAATATTTCCAAGGCATCTGTGGTCAAATACTAGTAGCTTACGAGTGTCTTCTACTCTTAAAGGCCATGTTTCGTTGCCGTAAAGTAAAACAGAGCGGACTGCCGCGCAGTATACTCGTCCTTTAATTGATAGACGGATATCTCGCCTTCGCCAAAGGTGACGTGATTTGGCAAAAGCCAAACGAGCTTTTCGAATCCATGCTGAGATTTCGTCAGACACCAACCCATTAGGGCTAATCAGACTTCCAAGATTAGTGTTGTCAACGCGTTCGACTACTTCACTCCCTATCCTTAGTTCAGGTGTTGACGCAGACCAGTCCTGAAGCAACAACTTGCATTTAGAGGGAGAGAAGCGCATCCCAAACATTCTGGCATTGTTGCTCACTGCTACCAGAAGACTGCGTTTTATCAGCGTCTTCACTAAACAGGACTATGCCATCTACGTACTCTATGTCGATAAGTGGATCTCCTAGAAGATGGATTCCTGAAAATTCAGTAAACGAGAACGTTGTTTCCATCATCAGATCTATGATGAAGGTAAACAAAAATGGAGATAGTGGACAGCCTTGTTGGACACCACTTGAGGTTGCAAAAGCAGATGACAGTTCGCCATGAGCTCTGACTCGACTGGTAGTGTTCGAGTAAAGAGCCTTCACAAGGTTTATGTGCTTCTGAGGTACGCCTTTCAATGACAGACACTGCCACAGAATCTCGCGGTCTACGGAGTCAAATGCTGCTTTTAAGTCAAGAAAGATCACCATTGTCGGACGCCGATAAGTATGCCTATGTTCTAGAACCTGACGAATGGTGAATATGTGGTTGATGCAGCCAGGACCAGGTCTGAAGCCAGCTTGATTCTCTCGTGTTTGCAGTTCACGAGTCTTAGTTAGACGTCTGATAATTATCAAGGCTAGTAGTTTAGATACTATATTAGTTAAACTAATCCCTTTATGGTTGTCACAAGATGATTTTAACCCTCTCTTATACATTGGGACGATAAGTGATTGCGACCAGTCAGATGGAATAACGTCTAACTCCCAGATTCTAGCTAAAATATTAGTCAACCTAATCGCTAAAATTGGACCACCATACTTAAAGACTTCTGGAGCCAATCCATCTGGGCCAGCTGCCCTTCCTCGTTTCAGATTAGCTAGAGCCTTTTGAACTTCTGCTGGAGTTTGGGGACCTACTTCAATGTTCCATTCAGGCTGTTTGGTAATGGTGGGTAGTTGTAGAGTAGCTGACGACCAGCTGAACTGTTCTCTGAAATGTTCCGCCCATCGTTCTAAACGTCTGGACTGAGAGCAGATGAGGGTGTCGTCTTTTTCCGAAATAGTCTGACTTACACTTGACTTATTAATTCCAGTTTCTTTTATTAGTCTGTAGAGCTGTCTTGTGTTCCCTATAGCCGCCGCCTTTTCCATCTCTTTTGCTTTCGTTGCCCACCACTGCTCACGGTCGTTCCTTAGACTTTTGCCTAACCTAGATCTGATTTGTTTTCGCTGTTCATCGTGTTCAGAGCCTGATGGGATGCGTTTACGAGAATCCATCAGTGCAATAGACCTTGAGGAAATCCATCGGTTCTTTGTAACCCTGTGGTTTAAATCACTGATAGATATCACTGCTGTTTCCACAGCTGTTTGTATAGCTTTCCAAGCAACATCTGGGTCAACCTCGTTTTCAGAACTACCTAATTGTGACCCCAGTTTTTCCTGGAACCTACTTTTGGTTTTCTCGCTACTCAATTCAGCTCTAATGGGTCTTTCCACTGAGGCTCTTTTGCGTCCAGTGAGGCGCAAGCAGATGCGTGCCCGTATTAGGGCGTGGTCGGAGTCCAAGCAGGTACTCCAGAATGAGCGACAATCTTCTACCGACCCTCTCCAACGATGACTGATGGCAATATGGTCTATTTGAGTCCATCATTGGTTTGGTGTAGGGGGTCGCCATGTTAGACGATGTCTCTCCTTATGCTTAAAATTTGTGTTTGCTAAAAATAAGCGATTGTCTGAGCACAGTTGCAGCAGACGATCATCATTATCTGTTCGTTGTTCCGGTGTGCTAAAATACCCACCTAAATGCCTTTCTGTTTGGTTTAAACTACCTATCTGGGCATTAAAGTCACCTGCTACGAGTACTATGTCTGAACGTTTAACTTTCTAAAGAAGTTCAGATAGCTTTCTGTAAAATTCATCTTTCATTTCATCTGAGCTGCAGTCGGTGGGAGCGTAGGCAGAAACGACGAAAAGGCAACGACGTGTGTCCCTATCCTTCCGAGTTCTTACGGAGCCGTTTAGCCGATCAGAACATAAACGACTGTTAACGGGGATCCACTCTAACAGTGCTTGTTCCGCACTCATGCTTAGTGCTATCCCTACTCCTGCCAGTCCACGAGAGCTGACCATCGGGTCACCAGATACACGGAGGGTGTATCTCGTTGGCTCTTCGTTTTGCCGAGGTGAGGTCAAGTGAATGACCACACTGGGATCCTGTATGCGTGTTTCAGAGACACAGCATACATCAATGGTACGAAATTCTAGGGTTCTAGCCAAGGAAGCCTGTTGACCGATTTGACATAGGGTGCGTACGTTGAAGGCTCCAATGTGTAGTTTGGAGCGAGGTTTCAGTAGACCTGGGACAGTGTTTTGAGCACTAGAATCGTTGGCTATGGTGACACCTGAGAGGGAAACCGAAAAAGGAAGTTTAGAGGTGAAAGTCAATGTAGGAGCAATAATAGGAAGTGAAGACGGAGGTTGATTATGAATACAGTGGTCTTGAGTGCTGTTAGAGGTATGAGGTCGGTTATCACTTCCCGGGTTCTTCTGGAGGTACCTAAAAAGGAAATTGGATTAGAGGTGGTCTTAGTGACCTGGGAGCGTGACCGCAGTGCCCATGGGACAATTACTTGAGGTCGGTCACACACGACCTTTCTATGGGTGATTTTTGTGTTAGCTCCGTACTTGTTGAGACCTTACCACCGGAGACGGATATCCGTGGGATAAGGCGAGGTGTGCATTTTTAGGGTCGACCTTTTCTAAACCCACCCCTCCTTGTGGGAAGGCAGCATCGCTGTCATGCTGGTTGTCTGAAGGAAACACCTTACTGTTGTCACACCTCTGTACAGTCAGCAGTACGACATCGCCTTCGAACCTTAGGTTTGTTACTTTCAGTCTTACCGCTTTTCAACCGACCTGTCTGACATGGTAGGACCTTGAGGAACGGTTGTTCCAGCCAGTATAGCTCGGTTGCTTCATCACGATAGGCAAGCCCGACCACCACGTCAAGGTAGCAACAACGGTCGAGGAAACTAGAATTCGTAAAAAAAATGTGTTAACTGCTGAGACCATTGGTTATATAGTGAGAAAGGAGTGGATATATTTGAAAAGTTTAGGCATAAACTTTAGAATCGACCATTAAATTGTGGATTGAAGAAACCCAATTAGCTTTTCTGCTCAAGACTTAAAATTTTCTAAATCGCTACTTTAAATACTTGTTCCGACTTACCCTGATCGAATTTTCCAGTAAGTAAGACATTTCCAAACATAAATTTAAACATCCACTGACATAGGTTTATATCTTTTTTATGTTTAGCTTCAAATGAGTCATTACTGTGGGTAGACAAGTACATGCCGTCAAGTTGCTCTTCTTTTTTAAACACTTGTTCTGGTATAATGAAACTTCTTATGTGGTTGAAGAAATGGAAGTATAAAAATTCTAAAGTTGAAAACTCAACGGAGCCTTCATTGAGTAAGAATAAAACTACAAAGTCTACAAAAAGTAAGTCTTAAATTTTAAAAGTTTCTTGCCGGTATGATTGTGACCAGACAACTGTTTTCTTTTCTGGAAATTTTAAAGGCCAAGACTTTTCCTTCTAAATCACAATAGATATGTCAACTTCTATCTTACTACTTGGTTTTGTGTACATTTAGTATAACTTCTGTCCTCATGGTTTCAGTAGGATTATTTCTTCACTTACATCTAAAGTTCAATGGAGTTAGTGGACCTACGTTTCAGTCTATGTAAATCATGTTAAAAAAATTGATCTGGTGTAGTATGACAGAAACGACCTGGTTTCATAAATGAGCCCATTGTGAATAATATTGACGGATTCATTTTAATCAGAAGTGTTGTTTGTGAGATATATCAATGTTTTCAAACAACTAGATTAGGTCGAGTATACTGCTTGAATAGTATTATGTTACCGATCAAATGCAGTTGATATATATATATATATATATATATATATATATATATATATAATTGAAATTCATGTTATTGTTTAATAAAATAGTTTTCCGTTACATAATAATAATTTATTATCAATTAACAATATTAATGTTCTCAATGTTTAAGTACCACTATCTACTATCTACATATTCTTTGAGAACATTGTATTATACTGTTTATAATTGGTTTCAACTTTCGAGCAACTGTGGCCACACCTAACACCACAGAGTTATTTGGAATAGCTAAACCTTAAATATTTCAATGTTTTTTCATAGTGTTTATGCTCATGATAGTTCTATGGTCCAATAATGTGAAACTATTTTGTATTATATTACTACTAATTGCATTATTTGGTTGTATAAATCTCATGAATCAAGTCATACAAGCAGTAAATTACTTTAGTTATCTATGAATTAACAATAGTACTAGTTGTTTGCACTGATAACTTCTTGTTACGGTTTTGAAACTCATCTTTTTAAATTACTTAATATCGACCAACTCCCTTATTCTTCTTTTTCAAAGAAAGGATTCGACCAAGCCCTCGTTATTCTAGTGACGACGACTTTGTTGTAAAGTCACCGGCACATAAACGCCATAAATATAACGTTCCTATTCCTGGTTCAGTTGAAAACATTAATGAGAATCCAACCTTAAATTTACCCATTGGATACATTCAAAATCAAATAGATGTCTCTAGCTCCAGCAGCTCAGATGAAGATAATTCAACTGAAAGTGATGAAGAACATAATGGTAATCCTAACAAAAGACGTCTTCGAGAAAATTGGCAGTCCAAGGCTTTCCTGTTAGTAGGACCTCATGGAACAGGAAAATCTGCATTAATTTATGCACTGGCTAAAGATTTAGGCTTTAAAGTAGTTTGAATAATTGATTTTATTTATGAATACTGTTATTTTTGTAGATATTCGAATTAAACCCTTCAAGTAGACGGTCCGGTAAAGATATCATATCTCAGTTCCATACTGCACTTGGATCACACCATGTTGCTAAAGATTATCTATCCACTAGTTTTAGTACATTCCAAATGATAAGTAAGTTGTTTAGTTAATTCTTATTGAAATCACAATATTTAAGCATCATCTTGTCTTACTAAAAATAATTCAGAAACGACCCGCAAGTCTGCAGCCGATTTCTTCAAACCAGTACCTAGAAAGAATGTTTCATCCAAGAAAAATACTTCTTCCACTAAAGGTACCTTGAACGTGATCATTTACTTATCAATCATGTTGTTGTAGATTCTGAAAGCTTAAATTTAAATTGCAACTCGATAGTACTATTTGATGAAGTGAGTGTATCTGTACCCTAAATTTTTTTCACCTATTTATGATAATCTGGAAAAGTCTTGCATACAAATAAAATCGTTCACTCCACCAATCTGTAATTTGTTCTTGAATCGTATCTTCGATGCATAATCTTTTCTATTACCACTAATAATGTTACTACTCCGTTATACTTTTAGACTCACCCTGACAATTTCATCTTGCTGTGTCAATAGAGTGTGGTAATTTAAACCAATATACACATATCCCAGGTTCTATAATGCGTATAATCAACTGACAAATCAAATCTGCCTATCAATCTCACTTTTTCAGCCATACAAATATTCTTCTTTGAAGATTAAATCATGTAAATTAAATTGCAATAAAATATTTAACAACTGGAATACAGATAATCTTAACCAGCGTTTATCGACATGATTTTGTTATATCTTTCAATATAGGAATTGAGATTTCGATTATTCATATGATTCACAACACTTAACAATAGATACTTGTTTTCAACTTCAATCTTCCCATTGTAAGCTGCTCATCTTCAAAGATATAATAACCCATATTGTTTGAAGAAAAATGTCCTACAATTCGTGTCCATATATTCGAAACTATTGACGTCATTTCAAGACTCCTAGAATCAGAAACCAGTTATGGCTAACTGAAAGTTATTCCATATCTCAGTCAGTCAGTTACAACGTAGGACGACCAGGCACATATATGCATCGGTCCAAGTTGGCTCACCTCATTAGCACAACAAGGTGAACACCATATTCATAGAAGTAGTTACTTGAATGGTAGTAATATATAAAAGAAAGATTGTGTATAAGGATATAATACAGAAAGAAAGGATTAGTTCTTAAAAAGAACGGTATAAAGCAATTATGATCTCACGACTTAAGGGAAGACAAAGAGTGTATACACCTACACTATTGTGATCGGTTCTAAACCATGTCACCCAGAGTCTCCAAACATTGGTTACGACAGTCACACGGACCCCAACCAAGTAGCCTGCATCTACCAACATGGCTCAGACTAGTAATTAGTAACTTCAACCACTGATGCCACATTTTGGTTTGGTCGCCCCTAACTTTTTTCTAACCGTCCCCAACCCTAATCAGCATTGTGTATCGTGGTAATCGGTGTTCAGGCATACGTGACACGTGGCCCAACCATCTCAGTCGATGAAGATTCACAACCTCATCAACTGATTTACCATCATTCCCTAATACTCTGCGTCTGACCTTACTATTACTTACCCGGTGATCTCAGCAGATGCGAGCAATAATTACAAGACATCTGTGATCAAATACTAGTTACTTACGAGTATCCTCTTCTCTTAATGACAAGTTTCGTAGCCATAAAGTAGAACGAAGTGGCGCACAGTATACTCGTCCTTTAATTGATAGACGAATATCTCGCCTTTGCCATAGGTGACGTGATTTGGCAAAAGCTAAACGGGCTTTTCGAATCCGTGCAGAGATTTCGTCGATATCTTGACAAGCGAGATTCTCCTATAAAATTCCTGACTGTATTCTTCTGTCCTGTGTGTACTGTTTCGGCTATCGCTTGTATCCTAAGCCTCGACCAGTTATGCACTTCGACTGCGGATGTTAACCTTCAGTTTAGAGCAAAGTACATCTTAACTCTTAGTAGTCTGGAACTTATGCCCTTCTCCCAGCCAGTTTAAGTCCTACAATAGGAAACAGCAATCAGTACTGCCGTTGTACATGTATTCTGAATACTTATAGTTTTTATACATGGATTATCAGACCGAAGCGCACCCCAAACATACTTTACATACAATCATGTCAGAAGTGGGAGAGAACTGTATATAATAAAAGTTGAGGAATGGCGAATTTTTTTACAACGGTTAGTAGGCCTAGCAGACGTTCAGAACACAGGGAATATAGAGATACAAGAACCCAATTAATAACTGTACAATAAAAATATAAATGGTAATAATATGTAAAAAGAGTCACGTACATTCCATTGTCTTCAGTACTCTCTTCATTATAACAAAATCCATGGCAATTAATGACTTGTCTGAATCAATTTATTCGCCATACTTTTTCCAAACCTATGTTAACCAGAAAAAGGTTATTTATTCTCTGAGGAAACAACTAGGTCAAGTGTAGAAAATCAATTGTTTACTGATAGAAACATTATGAATATATTGTTGTCAGTATGGAGTTTTCGGGAAACTGTTGAATGTTACTGAGACCACGAACTCAATTGCATCATTTGCACCAAACAAATGTAAACAGTAGACTCAATTCACTAGGATTTTGTTTTGAAAAACAATGAGGAAAACGTGATTCAGTGAATACTGTCTGTAGTCTATTTATTCATTAACCATTGTTTGTTGAAAAAAGTCTATTGTTTTTCTTAATCATTTTCTATATTTCTTATGTCTTCCTAGTCAAAGCGTATTTATGATATTCCATGAATCAATTTTTTTTTCTATCTCAGGTGGATGTACTTTTTGAAAGTGATCGAGGCTTTTGGTCTGGTCTAAGTAGCTTACTTCAACTTGCTCGTCGTCCAGTTATACTTACCGCTTCAGATTCTTCTATAGTTCACAATCTGCCAGTCCCGGCTTATATTTGTCATTTTACATCAGCCTCATTGGCAAGTGAAATTTTACATAATATCAATTTTATCAATTTAGTTTATAACTACACTCTAAAAGGGCAATAAGAACATTAAAAGTAAATTATTTAACGCCGACCACTTATTAAATACTATTAAATTGAATACACATCGTAACTTATTTCTGTTCGGCTATAAATATCGATCAACGCTTGATTAAATCGAGTTGGCTCACTTGATTTTTCTACTGCGCGTCATTTGGTTTCTCTTCCTTTGCTCCGTTTCTCTGATTGTCTGTGCCGATCAATCATAGTACAAAATATACGTATTCAAACTTCATTCTCCTATTTGACTTATTTAATTCCGTTATTCACCAACACGACTTAAGTCGATAATTATATACGAAGATAGCCAGGATATATATTTAGACAGCAATCATGCGATAACAAGCAGCAAATGATCTATCTAGAGTCAGATCCAGGGCCACTAAAATCTTTAAACTTGATGTTACGTTCATTGTCAGTTAGATAGGGTAAAGGATAACACCGTTTATAGACTTAGTGACACATTTAGCTATCCATGTTTCTTGAGTATTCTGTGAGGATTTGTAAGTTATATTTTTATTAATTAATAATCACGTTTTGGATAGAATTAACGACTCATTGACTTAGGCATTCGAGTATCAGCTAACCAGTGGGTTACCAGTTTTAAGAAGTTTTGTAGTATTCATTCACCTTCATTCAATAGATGTATATTGTGACTTGATATATGAAACTGTAAATGGTTTTCAAGTTACATTATCACTTTTTTAATACTACATATAACAAAAGCTATCCGTGATCTAGTTGGTTAACATATTCACTAATAGCTACTTACAAAAGTGAGCTAGTCGTACTGCTATTAGTATAAACGGAGAATCTTTGGATGTCCTAATTCTTAAGAAGTTGTTATGTCTGTTCTAGTTTTCTACCATTAATCTTTTTATCCAATCATTGTGTTTTTGTTACGAGTCAACAGTTAACTTCAATCTGTTTCTTCTGTGTTATATCTCCAACCTAGTATGTTTTATTAAGCTATGGGCTGTTGGTTAAAGCATTCATCTTCCATTCACTGGTTTTCAGGCTTAAATCCTACTCCACCTACTTCAGTACGAGCAGTTAGGTACCAGTACTAGCTCTCAGATACCTGAAAAGTGGTTCAACCAAGTATGCTAATCTACTCTCGCATTAATAGTATTGTTTAACTTGTATATTGTTTAGATTTTACACTGTATTAAATTTAAGAAAGTCATGGTTGCATGTCGAGGTTACTGATGGTTGAGCTTACTTACCACATGTTCCAGTCATCTCAGTCAATTTAGATTTACAACCTTAGCCCACTTAATAGTGTTACCTAGTACGACACGTCTAATCTCATCAGTGCTCAGTCAATCTTTTCAATATAGGTGAACCATACTTTGATTACATACAGTCTGCACATATCTTCTACTTACATAGATTATGTTTCACATTTGTGCAGAGCGAACTTCAGTGTAGTGCACTTGCTCTTAGGTTGTCAGATGGAAATCTTGCTTGCATCCCAAGTAAACACAATCTGGTTAAAGCCAAATGAGGTTCATGGATTCATGCCAAGACTATATAGAAATAAAACCTAAGGATAGTGATTCTAATTCGAGTATTAAACTTCACTGAAAAAGAAAACATTTTTTAAAATATAACATTTTCTTCTTAATTAGAGATATCTATCCTTTACTTTTACTTTTTATTGAAGGAATTAGTTGTCCCATACATTCGCGTCCTATGTTTAAATGAAGGATATAATTTAGATGTACAAACTGCAAATTCATTAATTAAAAGTATTCAATCTCCTAATTTAACTGTTAATAAGCTGTCTTCTGAACATTGTGACCTGCGGAGACTTATTAATGAGCTACAATGGTTTTGTATCAGTGCTCCTCACGAGGAGACAAACAAAAAATATCATATAAAAAATGAAAATGTAAGTGGTTTTAATTGTCCTTCAGTATGTGTTTGTTTCAAATATTGCATTTATTCGGACATTAGTAATATATGCTTATAGTTCTTTATTTATCAAGTAATTGAAACGATATCGATAACAGGGACTCAGATTTCATATTAGGTTAACGTTTATATAAGTAAGTCATTTTCGCTATCTTGAGATGGTGCAGATTAACAGTCACAGTTGCATGTTTTACTGTTGTTTTTTCTAGTTGATCTTTTAGTTATAATGTTCTTAATTATCTAGTTATTAGTGCAACAGCCCAGTGGCTAAAGCGTTTGGTTTTCAACTGCTAAATCTCACGTTTGAATTCCACTTTACCTATTTCATTATGAGCAGTTAATTGGCCTCACAGCTAGCATGCGACCCCATAATCAAGTACACAGAATTGTACATGATAAATAAGTCAGTAAATAGGTCAATCCGTCCTTAGTGCTGATTGGATTCTATCACCTAAATAGTCTTTTTCTGTAAAATAAAATATCAAAAATTGCAAATATTACTGTTGTATTCATTTCGTATTGGTTGTTTGGATCCTCCTATTGATTTTTAGGACTGCAATTGATCAGTCTCTTACTGACACATGGGCATCCTGTGCGGATTGCCTCGATATTGCCTTAAGTCACAAGAAGTGTCAGTAATGATGGTGGCTAGCAGTGAAATCCAGGACGCAAGGTTCGTCCTATTTGGGACTCAGCAATTGGTTGTACTTGTATCCGAGATTTGATGTTCACTTCTGGACTCGAAACCAGTACTATTCGCTCCAAACGCCATCGAGTTATCCACTTAGCTAATGAGTCACTAGCCACTAGCTTGTGCAATGGTGTGACGTTTAGTTCATTTTGTATTGGTTGTTTGAATTATCCCATTGATGTTTAGGACTGCAATTGATCAGTCCCTTATTGGCGTATGTTCATCCTATTCACTCGATGGCATCTGAAGCGAACAGTACTAGATTCGATTCCCAGAGTGAACATTAACTCTGGGACAGTCATAAACAACTGACGAGTTTCGAGTAAGACGAGACGCGCATCCTGGGTTCCACTACTAGCCACCATCATCTCTGCTTTTCATGTTTTTTTGTTTACGTGGACGATTTAGAAAAAAATAGAAAATGAATTAGTGTGTTTATTTATTGACAAACGATTTTTTTGTCTTCAACACTAACAGTATAGTACATGGTAGCAACTCTAAATACTAGGTCAACTGCTTAGGTATTAGTTGTATGTTTATAGTCGATGATTGATTTTCAATTAGCTCGTTCAGTTCCACTCATTTTACTTTCCATAAGCTTTATTTATTGTAAGCAGCGTCAGATGTTGACTATCAGTGGAATTCAGAACACGTGTTTCATGCTGTTTTGGACTTTTCAGTTGAAGGCACTTGCATCTTAGAATTGATGTTCACACCATCATAAGCTTTAGTGCCAGATAGAACGAAACATACGTCCTGCATCCCACTACTAGTCACCATCCTACTGTACTTAAAAGATGCTTGTGACTTAATAACAATATTAAGGCGATGCCTATAGGATGCAAACATCACAAAAAAGTTTGATTAGTGGTAGTCCTAAACATCAGTGAGAAGTTTTAAACAACCAATGCAGATGAAATTGTATTTGTTGCGTTTAGATTGTGAAAAACTATATACTCCTCTAGTAATATACTCTATAACTTCTTCGTAATAGAAGGTTTTTAAACATGTCATATTATTATTTTGATTTATCCATTAATCTGTCGTGTACTGAGATGATGATAGCTAACTAGCCTGGAGATGTTTGATGAGTTTATCACTTCACAATTTTTCTTTCTACCTGACGAGACTACTTTCTTATTTTGTAAATAGTATATCACTAATTTTAACAATTCTCGGACCAGTGAAAACATGCATTCCACACACACACACTTTTGTTACGACACCTTATGAATACTGTTTAGAAAAAATGATGTTTTCTGTGTATTCATAACCATTTATGAAGGAAAAATGTCACAAAACATACTGTTATAACTTGAAAAAGCTGATTTTTCTGGATACTACCGCGTATAACTGAGCACTAGAACACCAAACCCTTCCAAGTCGCAATAAGAAGACAGAAGACTAACGAAAGGAATATTATTCCAAACAGTGTCAAACATAGTACAAAATTGTCAGGTATTTATAGTTTTTAGTGAGAACGAAATCATCATTACAGTCTTCCAATCCGCGTACAGGGGGTTATTAGCATTATCCAATGGGGAAGCTACACGTTGGAATTCTAGAACATTCTTCCGAAAGGTGATTGGATGGAACGTCTTCGGCTCTTTATGAGCCTCTTACAGCTTCCTCGAGTTCACCGGTGGTCCGTCGTCACACCTCCCCCCTTTAAAGTCCGTTGTGTAAGATTTTTTTCTTGGATCCACCTGAAGCTTGGGTGTCGCATTCCTCTTGCGGTCCATTACTCTCGAAGGTTGTACAGCCTTCTCTCTGCGTCGTTTGTCTTTTCGATATTTGCGCTCATGATGGTTCTTCTGAGACGAATCTACGAGCAATTGAAATGGAAGCCGGTTTTCTGTGACCACTGTACTATCATTTCTTTGCATTTGATTTATATGTCTTATGCATTTCCCGACATCTTTCCGGACTAGGTACAGCACATTTCCGATTCGACGTTCGATGACACCTGGTTCCCACTTCCTATTACCTTGATACGATCTGACAAGTACCTTTTCACCCACCTGGAAGCTACGATTGACCTTACGATTTTCATTCGTGGGTTTATTTGTCTTTCTGGGCGGCAACATACTGTTAAAAACTGTCCGGATTTTCCTTCCGAACATACACTCGGCCGGAGACTTTCCTTCTGGTACTGCCGGATTAGGGATAACTCTGTAAGACATCAAGAACTTATTTATCACTTGTTCCGGGACACCCTCACCTCCCCCTTTGACCAGAGCTCTTTTAATTGTATCCACGAATCTTTCTGCCTGGCCATTCGACTGAGGATGGTATGGAGGAGATTGTAGATGCAATATGCCATTCTCGTTGCAGAAGCGTTTGAAGGCAGATGACATAAACTGAGTACCATTGTCAGTCACTAAGATCTCTGGAACCCCAAAACAGGCAAACAATCCTGACAATCTTCTTATGGTACTCTCTGAAGTCGTATTCGGCATGTCATATACTTCCGGCCATTTTGTGAAAGCATCTACAACAACTAAGTAATTCCTACCTTGTATCGGTCCGGCGAAATCAGCATGTATTCTTTGCCAAGGCCCGTCCGGTTTAGGCCATGGTTGTGGCTCAGCTCTCGTTGGATTCTTTGCAGCCTCTTGACAGGACCAACAGCTGCGACATTTTTGCTCTATCTCATGGTCCATTGACGGCCAGTATGCATAGCTACGAGCTAGTGACTTCATTTTACTTATCCCCGGATGCCCGCTGTGGAACTGTTTAATGACTTGGTGTCGAAGATTTCTGGGGATAACGATACGATGGCCGAACATTATACATGAATCGACAACTGTTAATGACTCTCGTCGACGAAAGTATTGTAAGAGTTCTCCGTGTAATCTAGATGAAGGCCATTTATTGAGTATGCAATGGCGAACAATCTTTAATACATTATCCTTCTTGCTGGCCTCTTTAATGGCTTCAAATGTGACCGGGAGTCCGGAAACTGCGTCTGACAATATTTTGTGAACCTCGGCCTCGACATCTATAGCAGCTACAAGCACCTCTTCTTCTTGTTTTTCATGCAGACCAATCAATCTTGAGAGTGCATCTGCCTGTCCGAAATCCGTTGTTGGTTGATAATTTATCTTGAAATCATAACCCAGCAGTGTGGTGGCCCATCTCTGTAGCCGGTTTGCTGTATATACCGGGATGCCTTTTTTAGATCCAAAAACTGTCAGTAAAGGTTTATGGTCTGTAAGTAAGGTGAACTGCCGACCAAACAGCATCTTGTGGAACTTTTTTACAGCAAATATAATCGCGAGGGCTTCTTTTTCTATTTGACTGTAGTTTCTTTCAGTCATAGTCAGAGATCTTGCAGCGTGAGCGATTGCTTTCTCAGAACCGTCAGGGTAGGCATGTGAAATTACTGCTCCAATTCCGTAGTTCGACGCATCTGCTGCGACTATAATTGGAAGATCGGGATCATAGTGTGTAAGGAGAAGATCCGATGATAGAAGCTGCTTCAGTTTTAGGAATGCTTCTTGGCATTCAGTTGACCAGAACCATTTAGTATCCTTTTTCAATAAGCAATTAAGAGGAGCACGATGGCGATGCAGATCTGGCAGAAAAACTCCATAATGACTAACCATTCCCAAGAAAGAACGTAAAGTTGACACATCCGTCGGTGGAGGCATGGACTTAATGGCTTCGACATTTTCAGGATCAGGTTTTCTCCCGTTTTTATCAATTATGAATCCCAAATACCGGACTTGCTCCATGTAAAAATCACATTTTTCGGCACGCAGTCTTAATCCATAATCTGCTATGCGTCTGAGAACCGTATCCACCTTATTCTCTAAATCAGCATAGTCTGTACCCATGATCAATATATCATCGAGATAAGCCGCGGTACCAGGAATGTCTTGTAACATAGTGTCCATAACTTGCTGGAAGATTGAAGGGGCAGTCTTTACTCCAAAAGGAAGTCGGTTATATCGGAACAATCCCTTGTGAGTGTTTATTGTCAAGTAATGCTTACACTCATCCGCTACCGGAATCTGTAGATAAGCGTCTGATAGGTCTAATTTCGCAAAATACTTACCCCCATTCAGTTTCGCAAATAAATCCTCTGGTACCGGCAATGGGTATTGATGGTCTTCAAGCGCTTCATTTAATCCAGTCGAATAATCTGCACATAACCGGATACTTCCATTAGGCTTTTTAACAATCACTATTGGAGCTGCCCAGTCAGAAAAGTTTACTGGTTCGATTATTCCACTTCTTTGCAGACGCTCTAATTCTTGTTCAACGATAGGTAGTGCTGCATA